TGTCAAGGTCAAATAGTGTATCTTTTCACTGATGAACATTTTGTTATGACATTATTAAGCAAAGTTGGTTCGAATTTAAAAAGGAGTCAACTGACTTAAGGTAAAGGTCATTTTATGTTATTATGTAGCAAACTTGTTCAGAACTTAACACAGAGTCAATTGGCTTTAGGTCCAGGTAACGGCGTCCAAAAGGTCAAGGTCAAGTTTTTATTTTTCACTGATGAACATTTTGTTATGATATTATGAAGCAAAGTTGGTCGGAATTAAAGAATAAGTTTAATGGTCAAGGTCATTTTGGTCCAAAGGTCAAAGACAAGGTGGATATCTGACTTTGACCCTGGCTCTTGATGGAGGAGGTATATAAGGTGAAATAAAACAAATCAAAGCTAACAAATGAGTATTGCACCGGTATTTGCATTTCTGTTAGCCCAGCCAATATGGAGGTGGAAGGAAACAAGACTCACATCATAGTACATGTAAAATGTATATTTTTATTCCTTGCATTTCTTTTTGAAGTCCAAATGTCAAACGTCAAGCTTAGCTATATGGGTAGATTGCTTCTTGATGATTATGGGGGATATATTGCCACAAGACGGGGCCCTTACTGACCTGTCGGTGTTCTAGTTTCACATTAAGTAATGTACTAGTAAATATGTGAAATGACAAACTCACTTTGAAGAAGGTTGGCTTTCATACACATCAGTATTAAGTTTAGATCAAAAGTTACCTCAAGGTGCATTTACTGTTAGCATGACTCGATCAAACAGATTAGAGGAAAGAAGAGAAAAGANTTATTCAAAATTCAAAATGGCCACAGTTCTATCAGATCAATTTTAATCAAACTTCAGTACAAATTTTCTGTCTTTACCCATACCAGGTGTTATTATTTAAATTCTTTGGTTAATAAAGAACCTGAAATGGTCAGTATGGTCTCAAGTTAGTGGAAATAATTCAAACTCTGACTTAGTTCTTATTGCAAAAGAAACAGGTAAACATGTCATTGTAACAGGCCTTGTGGGCCTTTTGTGTACTGTACATACTACTGGGTATACATTTACTTGGTATGTTTAGAGACTTCACTGTTGAACAGGCTCATATTCGTTTATATTGATATAGTTGAGAATAAAGTCCATATTTTGTCACTAGAGGACGCCTACACAGTATAATTAGGACAAAGACCTGTTTATTGAGTTCTGCTCTTGTCACTGATCACAGTAGACTTTAGGGGTTTGTGTTTATGTTATTTTGAGACGTCTATGAGAGAGAAAAAACACCAAATAGGATTGTTAATTTGTGATGTAGACTAACAACAACATAGATTTATTGTCTTTACCTGTCATATACGGGTTCAATGTTTCAATGAGGATGTGTTTTGTACAATGTCAGAGATGTACATATCAGTGTCACTGTTGACCTACATCTTTGCCAAAATGTCCTTGTTTTTTAATGAAAATCAATATATCACCTTAATGTTGACTGTTTGTGCAAAACATCTTATTTTATGCTCAAATTCATTTAATTTATTGCTCAGAACATCTGAAACTTCTGCACTCTGCGCTAATGTTTTGTAAAATTGGAGTCTTTGTAAGTACATGTACTTGTTTGGACACTTTAAGTATTTACCATGTGGTTTCTCCCCCATGAAAAGTTTGAAAAGGTACTCAGGGGTCCTTTATAGGTAGATTCATTTAATCAAACCACTGTTAGCTTTCTTGCTATTTATATAACTCATTTATGTAATTAGTTACCAAGTGATAGAAAAGGGAAGCTGTCCTATACCCTCTTAGAAACTAGGTACTGCTGATTAGTTTACAACAATGACGGAATTTTGAAGTGTCAGAACGCCATGACAGACCAGAGCTTATGCTTACTGTTTCCTCACGAAGTCCATGGTTTGGAATTGGGAAAAATGTGTTACAGTAAACAAAATTGGGAATTTTTGGAATTGTTTTAAAGTATGGATTTTTTTTGATACGAAAATAATTAAGAGGCTTTGGGGAAAAAAATAGCAGCATTTTTCATTGTGAATAGGGCCAAATTCTTCCCCGAAAGGGTCATAGAAAAAGTCCTGCAGAATAGTACATTCACCCTACAGCACATGTCCATTTTAAATGCTTTTTAGCAAGAAATGCATATCAATAATATAGAAAATTTTGAAAATCAGTGTAATACAAACCTTGGTACAAAATGAACAGTAGATTTTTTGAAATCAAAATGTTTGTAGTTTATGTGTGTGGCAGACTTGGTACAACCCCTTACCATAAAACATGTTTATAGGGAACAGCTGTTTTTCCTCCCTCAGACAAAAGGAACACTTGTAATCTCGGCAGGTATCCACTTGATGGATATGTTCTGGAAAACAAACTGGAAATGTGATCCCTATGACTGTGTGGCCTTACTGCCACGTGACACAGGGGCGCAGGGATGTCAACCTCCCTAGCATCCCCAGACACACTCGCCTTCTACAATGTACCACACGAGCAGTTGGACGCGACAATATAAAACACATTTGTCACGACACGGATCTATCTATTAGGTGTCAACATTTGTAATTAACTCATTTTGTACGTCGCATGTGGAGGTCACGGTGACACCACTAGCATCGCGATTTGTTTTTGTGATAAAACGTTCGTAAGTGATACCAAGGTAATGATGTCAGGTCATTCATAAACTGTCCACACTTACAATTAATTTTAATGACCCACAAGTCAATGTCTAAATGATTTTATCAACATACGGCAAAACTGGAAATAAAAGCAAGACGTTTGCCCAGAGTTAGTTGTCTTGGTACTATGTAATTATGCTGATTGGTAGATTAGATTGTTAGAATGGTTGTGAAAGTGGGACATTTGTTCAAAAGTTAATCGTCTTGATACTGTGTAATTATGATGATTGGTAGATCGAAATGGTACAATGGTAATGAACATGGGACATATGTCTAATAGATCATTGTTTTATCAATCTGTATATGATGAGGATGCTTTATGTGTTATTAAAAAAACAAGAAAAAAATGTGTGATCTTGAACAAACAAAATCTTGCCGATTCCATATATTTATTAATTTTTGTAGCTGGTGTACATGTCCACAATTTATAGAAATTGTGTTAAATATCTGAATATTTATTTTATATAAAGTATCTTAATACTTAAAATGCACACATTAATATGATAGTATAGATTATATATATCAACTTTTTTGTAAATACACGTTTATTTAAGAGATATATGGTCATTTGTCAAAGAATTAATGGTACAAGTTTAAGGTAATATGCTACCTTATCATGCTTTTTGCTAGGTTATCTCCCTTTAGAAATTTTAATTAACAGCATAAATGTTTAGATGTGTTCTTTCATCAAGAATTTAAATATTCAGTGTAAATTATCGTTTATTAGCTGTACAGGTATTGTAATGTGGAACTTTTTTTGGAGGTAAGATAACATCAACTATGTGTAACCTGTATAACATTACAATTTAAGCCACATTGGTTTTTAATTGTTGAGTACTGTATGGAGACTTTGAGTTCCGATCTTGTCGTAGTATTCGAGCATAAACAGACTCACAGTTCTGAATTTGTTCCTGGTGTGTTGACACTGTGATATGTTTCTTTTTCTATTGTATTTTTTAAGTTGAGTTAAATGTGTGACCTTATATGAGGTCATCGTGAACAGTGTTGACCTTAAGTAACTGATCATTTGATTTTATGAGCTACTGTGGAGAGTGACACAGATTGCAGCTGACCACAATGAAATCTTTATTTATAATCCAAAATAAAATCACAATGGTCTTTTTGTCTGTTTTAATCAAAATAGCTTCCAAAATTGTGTTGCCTTTTTTTTGCCATATGCAGTTGTCCAGAGTGGCCGTAGCTTGACCAGCAAGGCTGTAGATTGACCAGCAAGTCTAGGTCAGGGGTCAAAATTGACAATGAAAGTGTTAAGACAAGAAAACTTCACTTTTTACGACCATCAATGCAGTGAATGTATTCAGTATTAATTGCCATGTGGCCATTGTCCGAAGTGTTAAAGTTTGACCAGTTCAGGTTAAGGGTCAGACTGGACACAATGCTAAGCCACTGGTCAGTTTGGGACAAAAGAAGTGTTTTAAGTGTTTTGATACTGCAATCTGCCTTGCCTGTTGGTGACATTCGCTGATTTATTTTTTGCCACAGTAATAATGAACAGACACCGTAGGGGCGAGGTTACAACTCTCCTCAGTCGCATTATTTGCATTGGATAAAGATTTAGAAAAAGTCATTTTTCACTGAAAGAGATTTGTAACTGTCCACAGATTTTTGTTCTCTTTGTGAACTTGTATAAATTTGCCGGATTGGAACAATTTTCTTTTGTATCTGAAAACTATTAAGCTGATTATAAATGACCAGGAAAGAAAGTTATAATCATTTTGAGATGAATTCTTTGATGTCCTATTGAGATATAACTACTTTAAGTCCTAAATCTTCAACATCACAACAAATTTACAGAAAAAAGGAAAAGATTGTTCTATGAAGTTTGATATATCTTGGCAAAATACTCTTAAAAAATTGTAAAATTATTATTTTAAATAATTCATGCATGTTGTATAATTGATATAAACAGAGTTACCGTTTATAATATGAATCATGTGACTTCTATACTTTGTATAATTGACGGTAATACAATTTTTAATGGTTGCTAACTACAAATACATGTACAGAAACCATTATGTGCTGAAACTAGAATAATAAGATGATACTAGAAACATTCTTATCTCAATGCACTGAAATTTAGCACATTATCAAATTTTAACAGATGAACACAATGATGAATTGACATTTACAAAATAAGTTATGATTTTGAAAAGGTGATCATTTACTAAATCATTTGATCAGTTACTGCTGTCATAACTGAGTGCAATAGATTATGCACCCAAAAAGCAAAATGTGACTGCCACTAAAATATGTTCATTTACTGTAACTGTTAATTTAGTTTGTTCTTTAATTACTTACAAATGATGTTTTTCAGATAATGGAAGTAAACAATATGAGTAAAGTGCGACTGAAATATTGGTAAGTAAAAAAAAAAATGAAGATAATGACAGTTATAATTGATAAACTACAGGACTGAAAGGAAGATTTTTATCTTCCAGGCAATAATGTTCAAGAGATGTTTGGTATCATCAATCTTTTGACTTCATTTTTCAATTCAGTTTTATGAAACTTCCTACGAATGTTATATGTGATAGTTGTGTGAGTTAGAGTAGGCATTTCAGGGGGCTGCACTCAAAGGCAGTTACTGTTCTTTTAGAAGAAAAAAAGAAATTTCATCAGGTTTTTTACTTCGTTTTTCAATGTTTTCAATTTAGATGAAACAGTATTTCTCACATCATAATGTGGTCACATTTATGGTGCCTGATTTCTATAAAAGGATTTACGTTGCTCGTGATGCCTTCTTTTCATCAGGATTTAAAACAACAAAAGTTATATGCCAATTTTGTCAGAATCCACAAAAATTAATTCATACAGTTTGCACATTTTTGTTTTGTTTCATGCAAAGATGAAAAGGGAGATCACCTTCAATGCTAATTATTAATTTTCAAATGATTGCTTAAAATGGAAAGATGTGGCAGGAGCTACATGATTACCTGTCCACTATATCTGAGGTAATGATATACTGTTGTTGTAGACATTACTGTCAAACACGGCTAATTGTATATAGTACAATGTCTTGTACTTCCAGCAAACTTTCTTTAGAGGCTCCATATTTTAAGATCCTAGAGGCAGTTCTCAAGAATATCATTGCTGACATTGTATCAACATATCACCTTAGTTTTCTTAATAAAAGTTTAGATCAATTCATATCACTTGAAATCAAGTGAATTTACTGACTTTGAAATAAATTTAATGAACAAACAAATTCTTAACTTATGCAAATTAGTTAAATGAGGTCTAAAACATTCAGGCATTTTTTGTTTGTTATATAAACTGATTTTGGTAGTGTGTAAAACACTGGGGAATAAAACAATCTGTTATTGTAATATCCTTGTCTTTTTAATAACATCTGTACATATTACACATTTCACAAGGGTTTAAAGTAGCAACAAACCCCAAAGGCCTAACCATTTATTACACAGTATAGGGAAAACAGGTTTCTCTATATAGTTTAATTTTATAAAAAAAATAATGCGAACAGTAATAACTATTAGGTGTACATTCTAACAAATATAGAATTGATTTACTCTCATTACCACTTTCAGACCTTTTTATCAATTTTTCAGTTAACACTTAACTTGCACAGACCAAACACTGAGCTACTCTAATAGCTATATATAATAAACTAATGGATTGTTCAGTGAAAACACCAGATTTTTTCAAAAGAAGGGTTCAAAGCAATTGGTAAATTAATTTACACGTAGGAATATGAGAAAAAACTGTAAAAGAATAAATTTGGCCCCTTCCAGTTTTAACTGGCCTAGCACAAAGTGCCTGTGAGCTTAGTGTAGGGTGCAGTGTCATCGTTCGTTGGTCTGTCAAACTATTTTCTTTGCACAACTTCTTGAAAACTGAAGAGTCCCAGTGTCCTGATAGGTGACCATTGAGTAGTTACTGGGGATGGAGGGCTACAAAGTTTCCTAATTTGAATGGACATTACCTACTTTCATGGTCGCATTGTTGAAAAATATTAAATCCAGCATTTCAAGTCTTTATCTAATAGATCATGTTTAATTCAAAAGCTGGTCAGGGTCAAAGGTTAACATGGGCTGTAAAAGGTAACAAAGTTGAAGGATCTTCTATTTTGAGTTGCATAATGCCCAGGGTCCTGAGGCTGAGCCACTGATGTGTGTCCAATAGGTGTCTTTGATGAAGTGCTATAAAGTTTCACCATATCATTGGCCTTAGTTAATGACTTTCAAGGATCAGAGGGTCAAGTTCGGTATCTAATGAATATTTTTATTTTACATCATCTTCACATCTCAAGTGTGTTTTGATGTTGATGATCCATGCTTGTTTTTGTTACAGCGGAGTACATTTCAACTCTCCACAAGTTCAGCCCACTATAGAACAGATTGACCAATCATTTGGGGCTACACACCCAGGAGGCAAGTAACAGGCTTTGTAATGGTACTTTTTCAATTCAGGCTCAAAGTTAATGATACATGCGTTCCTCATTCTTATGTGACATGTATTTGTGACATTATTTAGATCTCCTCCCCAAAAGTAAAAAAACCCAACAAAAAACGTATGGTGAAATGACACGAGTATCATATACATATATTACACTGGGTTTTACATAATCTGCAAAATATCTGTGACTTTTAATCAGTCAGAGATTGTTTTGAGAAATTTGTATAGCATATCTTTATTACAGTGACTGGAATGCGATTTGCTTTGTTTAATAATTTTCGTATGTTTTAATATCTTTTCAGTTTACAACTCCGACAAACAGCTGTTTGTTTTGAACTTCAGAGGTCTCTCCTTTGATTTTCCTATTGAGTCCAAGTTTGAGGTAATATTACAATCCAGAGAATATACTAATAACTATTGTGATAAAATCGAGTCAAACCGAACAAGATTTTCCATGTTACGTATATCTTTTGAGAGCGATTTATAACTGTAGGAAGATTTTCCATACAATTACACGATTAATGAGATAACTGCATACCCTGCAAAGAACATATAGTATACCAGAACCAGGTTTTCTGTCTGTCTGTCTCTAGACAAGTACTTTAACTAGACAACTTTAACAGGTTTCAGCTGAATTTCGTGAAAGTCCATGGATGAAATCACTACACTGAAGTCATGTACATGTGCTTACTTTCTAGCCCACAAATATATGATAGTGGGCTGTTCTAATCACCTTCCATCTGTGGTCTGCCCTCTTAACCTTCCATCTGTGGTCTGCCCTCTTAACCTTCCATCTGTGGTCTGCCCTCTTACAGTTCTCACCCAAATATTTTGAAAATCCAGATATAGTCACTGCACTGTTGAATTGTGCACTTGCATTTTGTTTTTTTCATGAAAGTAATGCTCCTTTTACAAAACTATAAGCAATATAGTATCCAGACTACTCCTGCAACAGTTATCTACCAAATACTTTGAACATTGATAGACACAACCACCACAAATTGAACTTGCTAGCTTTCTTTGCTTGCGTTGGAACTCAAATTTAATTATGATAGTAATATAGACCTGTTTTCTCACTCTCACTCAGCCCAAGTATGCTCACGGCTTGGGCTCTCTCCAGTTTCCTAACGGGTCCTCACCTGCCGTGTCCAGGATGTGTGTATACACCGGCAACAGTCTACTTGACACCAAGTAAGTACATTTTTATCGGCGGAGCTGTCTTGTTCAGTTTTTCATCTTAAGCCAGAGTGACATCATTTTTGGCTGCATTGCAGAATGTCTGCCCATGTTAGAAGGTAGTGGGTCCTGTCCTCGGTCATGGTATTTCAATGAGGTACACTCAGAATGTCTGCCCATGTTAGAAGGTAGTGGGTCCTGTCATCGGTCATGGTATTTCAATGAGGAACACTCAGAATGTCTGCCCATGTTAGAAGGTAGTGGGTCCTGTCCTCGGTCATGGTATATCAATGAGGTACACTCAGAATGTCTGCCCATGTTAGAAGGTAGTGGGTCCTGGCCTCGGGTCATGGTATATCAATGAGGTACACTCTAAAGTCGGCATCAGACCCATACTATTGTTAGCAGACAAAAACCAACATGCAACTTCCAGCACACATGCATACACTACACATCGAGGCGCATCCTTAAATGATCTTAACTGTTCATATAGGATTCTACACTATATATTAACCAAACCGAACTAAACAAAGACCCCTGTCTGCCTGTCTTTTTTTTTTCCTTTTCATATCCTTAGGACCGGTGAGCTTATGCCATGGTGCGGCGTCTGTCATCCGTCCGTCGTTCATCCATCAACTTTTCCTTTAAAACACTACTGGTCCTGAACGGCCCAGAAGATTTTGACTACATTTGGTCTGGAGCATCCTTAGGCCAAGTGCATTCAATTTTGTATAAACGGTGGCTGTGGCCCCGTGGGGGCAGAGGGGCGGGACCCAATATGGGGAATAGAGATAAACCTTTGAAATACTTCTTCTACCATAAAGATTAAGGGATTTTATTCAAATGTGATCTGAACAGCCTTGGGCAAAGGACTCTCAATTTTGTATAAACCGGAGGTTTGGACCCTGTGGGGGTAGAGGGGTGGGGTCCATAGGAGAAATAGAGGTAAAATCTTTTCATTTCAGAATATTTATTGTTCAGATCTTAGATACAAAGGAATTGGGCAACAGGCAAAGCCTATGAGCGCCCTCTCCTTACAGTTATAAACAGTTTACACACATCATATTGAATTGAAGTAATGATAAAACATTTATATTATGTACATGAATATTGATATTTGCATGTCATTATTAATTTTTTGATAATTGTTGTACAAAAACTAGATTTTACAAAAAAATGGCAATTAAAATGATGCTGGTGGACAGAGCACATAGTAAAAGTATGTACTGGTATCATTCCACACAGCAAAGTCATGAGATAAACAAGTAAGTGTAATCTAGTTAAAGCGTCTTGTATCTTTAACGAATCTCTTAACCATCTCCAAGATACTTATGTTCATATTGATATCAAGTCTTTGACATCCATAAAGAAAAGTCTGGGTATTTAATGGAATAATGTCATTAAAAGCAGAAATGGAGTTCAGGAGAATTTGCCTTTGATTAGTATACAGAGTACAATGGAAGAAGAAGTGATCACAGTCCTCAACAGGAGAACTACATAAGCAGGCAGGGGTATCAATTAGGTGAGATTCAAATAGATCTGAATTCAGGTTACTGGCACAGTTTCTAAGTTGACATAAGGTAATATTAAATTTTCGATCACCATTGTATTTAAAAATATCAGTACATTGGGGTTGAGAATCCATTTCATCTGAGTGTAAAAAATCTCTTTTTATAGATCCAATGGATGTCATTGTGGGATACAGGCAAGTTGGATTATTCCATTCAGACATCAGTTTCGGGAAAAAACTGGCATTATATAACTGAGTTCTTGGTATAGGAACATCAAAAATTCTATTGTGGCGAAGATGATAATTGTCAGTATTATCATTAATGTACGGTTGAATTATATCATAGACATGAGAGGGACATTTCCTATTATATATTTTATAAAAAGTAATATTTTGATGCAAATGTCTTCTTCTATTAAGTGTTATAAAACCAGATTCTCTATATAAGATAGCATGACTTGTTCCACGTCTTAACCCTAAGATAATACGTGCTGCTTCTAGTTGGATAGACTCCAAGACACTGCATTCATTCTGCGTGCAGTTTGCCCATATAATATTTGCATATTCCAGAATTGGACGTATAAATGTGATATATATAGTTTCGAGTGATTTTCTATCAATTTTGTATTTCAACATTCTAAGTATATTAATTCTTTTATAAGCTTTTTCGTATATATAGTTTATGTGGTTAGACCAATTAGCCTTGCTGTTGAAAAACAAACCTAGGTGTTTATGATTAGAAACATTAATAATTGATGATTCATCAAAATATAGGTTAGGATGCAGTGTCTCAGAGTCAACCCGCCTCGAGAAGAGCAGGGCTACAGTTTTATCTGGATTAAAGATAATTCCCCATGTTCTAGCCCAGATTGAAATTTTCCTCAGATCATCATTTAATATATTAGCACATTCTTGCCTGTCTCCCTCAATGAGACCATATAAGGAGGTATCATCAGCAAATAGTTTGAAGTTTGAGGCCAATTCATCACCAATATCATTAATATATAGTAAAAACAAAAAAGGACCAAGGACTGAACCTTGGGGTACCCCTGCCTGTAATGTTTTCCAGTTAGACTTATACCCATCTATGACCACTCTCTGTTGCCTATCATGAAGGTATGATGTAAACCATTCTAACATATTATTACATATACCATATTTTTTTAGTTTATAAATTAGACCGTCATGCCAAACTCTGTCAAAGGCTTTGCTAATATCACAGAAAATCATTCTGGCCTCTTTGCCTTTGTCTAAATGTTTTACAATTTCATCGTATATAATTAATAGCTGATACACTGTGGAATCCTTAGGTAAAAAGCCTGACTGATTCTTAGAAATAATGTTATATCTTGAGAGGTAATTGAACATATACTTAAAAACATTTTTTTCAAATAGCTTGCTAAATATAGGGGTAACAGATATTGGTCTATAGTTGGATGGATCACTTTTATCTCCCTTGCCCTTATAAATTGGGGTAACATGAGCATTTTTCCATCTATTTGGTAGCTTTCCGGTAGAAATAGATTTGTTGAATAAGAGATAGAGTGGTTTCACAAGAGATTGGGAAACCCCTTTTATGAATTTTGGAGGGATACTATCAGGGCCTGAAGGTTTATTAGTATTGAGTAGATCGAGCTGATCAAGAATGTCCTGTTCGGTTATGTCTATTGTTGAGAAGCTATGTCGGGGTCGGGGGCAATCAGGAGGTAAATCGTCAGCATTCTTTTCAGTTACGGAAATCGAAGTGAAATAATCGTTAAAAGATTCCGCCTTATCTATGGGGTGGATTTTCAGTTCGCCGTTGATAATCAATGGAGAGTCATTTTCGTTTTTGTTTTTGAGATTCATAACCGATTTTGCAATACGCCACCATTTTCCGGGGGGTATGGTTTTATCAATTAAAGAAGATTGAAGTTTAGATAAATATTTTTCTTTAGCTTCCCGGACTAAGGATATAACTTCATTCCGAATAGATCTAAATTTTGCCCAGGAAGATGGAGTATTATGTAGCTTAGCTTTGGAATGCTGGCGATTTCTTTGTCTAATTTTGAGTCTGATACCATTAGTCATCCAAATTTTATCATTAGGTCTTATTGTTACTGTTTTATGGGGCACGAATAGGTCGATAGCAGTTAGGATTTTATCAGTTAAGAGAGAGTTCATATTTTCAATATCACCTTGTAATAAAAGATTCCAGTCAATGGACTTAAGATACTCATTTGCCCCGTCAAAGTCAGTGTTATTGAAGTATAATAAAGTCTTTTTATATGCATGTTTCTTTAAAGTTTTAAATTTCAGATCAGCGCTTACTGGACAGTGATCACTACAAGAGGGAGGATGTACTATTGTATTTTTAATAAAGTTAACATTGTTTGTTAGTATAGTGTCAAGTGATGTTGAGGTCTGGGAAGTAATCCTGGTAGGTTCAGTAACAGTGTTTTCTAACCCATATTTCAACAAAATTCTATGTAGATGTGAGTTTGGATTTAGATGTAACATGTCTTGATTTATATCACCTACTAGGACTACTTCCCTTTGCAGATCAATAATATTATTTAGGTTAATATCTAGCCTGTCCCAGTAGCCAACGAGAGAGTTAGGGGGTCTATATACACAGCCAAGAAGAATAGGTTTATTATGGGTAGTTACTTCAGTCCATATTAATTCAAGATCATCTGTCTCAAGGTCAGGTCTACGTTTAATATTAATATTATGTTTAGTATAAATCAGAACTCCGCCACCATAATTATCTCTATCCTTTCAAATCTTTGACATTCTTCTACTACCATAGGGATAAAGATTTATCCAAATTTGGCCTGGAGCATCCTTGGGCAAAGGCGACTATATTTTGTATAAACATTAGGTCTCTGCACTGTGGCCCTTCTAGATGCAGGGCGGCAGGGCACAAAAGGGGAATTTGAGGTTAAAATCATTAAAATCCTTCTCCTTCTGTACTATTGGAGGGATTTTATGCACATTTGATCTGGAGTATCCTTTGGCAAAGGGAATTTTATTTTGTATAAATGGAGGGTATAGTCCCTCTGGGTGCAGAGTTGTGGGGCCCAATAGGGGAATTTGAGGTTTAAATCTTCAAAATCCTTTTTCCTCTGTACCATTTGAGGGATTTCATCCACATTTGACCTGGAACAGGGTTTGCAATCCATTATCCTATCCAAATACATGTAGCTTTAAAGGGTTTATCTGATATATTGGCACATTTGTAAATTTCCACACAAACTCTTTCCGTGAGGATATGTCAAAAACTTTTGCTTATGTTGTTACTGCTGTTACAGAAATTACGGTTCAACAAGCCCCCTAAAAGATATAATAGTCAACCCCCTGGTAAGTCATATTCAAAGACCCTAATTAAAAATCGAAATATATATGTAGTTCAAATGTATTGAACTTGTACATGAGCTATAAAAAAGGTACATAACCAGGTTAACGTAGTCAATAATAAACCATTAAGGCTGATGTCTTCATAAAAATAGCTCACATGACTGAATACTACACAATGACATATGAATTAAAGTTCATTTGTAGACCTAGGTCATGCGGAGCTTAATTTCTATTTAATAAGGTGTGGAGAGGCATACTGGCCTTAAACAAAGATGATTGTTGCTATGGGAATGTACAAAATTCGTAGTAAAACGACCGAGTAACATATTTTACTGGTATATATGTGCAAAAACATAGACCTATTTGACCATAAAAAACACTTAAACTTCATATCAAATGTCCTTTCTTAACAATTATTGTTGTTATAAAAAAGCTAAACTTGTTATAAACATTATCATACTTTTCAGTTTAAATGTTTATAGCATGTCTAGTGCATTCGTAATATCACAGAATGTTCCCAAATGGCATATCATCTAAGGTTCATTTATCAATCAAGGTTTCTTAGGCTTTGTTTTCTTATTGCATATCTGCTAAAATATAATACCAATGGATTTTACTATGATTTTAGTGATTTCGCATGGCAACATCTATCTTAATTTGCGGTCGAAATTCCTTTCAACAGCTAGTGGTAGATAAACAATGCTTTGCATGACCTAGGTATATAAATGAACTTTAAATTATGGGTCATTTCTTATCACTCAGTTGAGTCTAAATAGATTGACATGTTATAAGCCCGGTGAACTAATTTTATGAAGACATCAGCCTTAATGCCTTATTTTCGACTATGTTAACCTGGCTATGTATTTTTAGCTCACCTGTTCCAAAGGACCAGGGTGAGCTTATGCCATACTGTTGCGTCCGTCGTCCGTCCGTCGTCCTTCGTCTATACATCAACAACTGCTTTAAACGACTTCTTCTTCTTAACCACTGATTGGAATTTGACTAAATTTGACTGGAAGCATCCCTAGGTGGTGGGGATTCAAAATTGTACAAATCGTGGAGCTGACCCCCCAGGGGGCAATTTGGCTTTATTGCTACAAACAACTTCTTCTGTAGAACTATGCACTAGATATCAATCATATTTGATCAAAAGCATTCATGGGAGGCAGGGATTAAAAATTGTACAAATGATGTGACTAACCCCCCAGGGGGCTGAGGGGTGGGGGCCAAAAAGGGTTATTTGGCTATATTGCTTTAAGCGACTTCAACTCTGGAACTAAGTGATAAATATCAACCATATTTGACTGGAAGCATCCCTAGATGGTGGTGATTCAAAATTGTACAAATGGTGTGGCTGAACCCCCAGGGGGTGGGCTGAGGGGCGGGGCCAAAAGCTGGCAATTTGGCTATGTTGCTTTAAGCAACTTTTTCTCTGGAACTAAGAGACGGATATCAACCATATTTGACTGGAAGCATTCCTAGGTGGTGGGGATTCAAAATTGTACAAATAGTAGGGCTGATGGACGGGACCAAAAAGGGGCAATTTGGCTATACTGCTTTAAGTGACTTCTCTGAAACTAAGAAATGGATATCAACCATATTTAACTGGAAGCATCCCTAGGTGGTGGAGATTCAAAATTGTACCAAATGTTGGGCTGACCCCCCAGGGGGCTGGGGGGTGGGACCAAAAGGGGGCAATTTGGCTGTGTTGCTTTAAGTGACTTCTTCTGTAGAACTGTGCCATGGATATCAACCATATTTGGTCGGAGGCATTCATGGGAGGCAGGAATTCACCTTGGAGACATTGTCCCTGGGTCATAACTTTGAAACAGTTGAGATACCCTCCCCAAAACTATTTATACAAATGCTGGGCATAAAGAGACGAATGCAGTCATGATATTAGAATAGCCCCTGGTGTCTGACCGAACCCCTAGGGACCTAGTTTCTTAGTCACTGCTTGGAAACAGTTCAGATCCCCACCCTATAACCATATATACAATTGCTGAGTATAAAGAAATGAATGCACATATGCTTCGAGGATGGCCTTAGGGTCTGCCCCACCCTTGGAGACTTAACCCCTGGGTCATGACTTAGAAATGGTTAAGATCCCAAACCCAAAACTATAAATACAAATGCTGGGCAAAAAGAGACGAATGCAGTCATGATATTAGAATTGATCATGGGGTCTGGCCAGAACCTATGGACCTAGTTTCTGAGTCACAGCTTGGAAACAGTTGAGATCCCCACCCTATAACCATACATAAAATTGCTGGGCATGAAAAATCTAATACAGATATGCTACAAGGATTGGCCTTGGGGTCTGTCACATTCCCTTGGATCTCATTTGGAGAATATTTTGCCATGATATCCAGGTTAGCGATATAGGCCCTCTGGGCCTCTTGTTTGTATAGCCGATGTACAGGTTCAATATGTACAAATTACATATATCAGTTCCAATTTTTAATTGGGTCTTTGAATATGAATTATCAGGATTTGAAAGTTTAGGTGACTACAGCATCTATTAGAGGGCTTGTTGAACCTAATTAACACATCTTCAGTGGCATGAAATATGATAAAATAAGATTAAAACCACCAAGATAAGTATGTAAGTATTCAGGTGTCAACACTTGTCTGTTACAGAGCTCCTCCATTACCAATCATCTGTTTCCAAGGCAACTGTTTTGTGGAATGTGTGGAGGTCCTCCGAGACCATGGAGTATCCAAGGGACTCAAGTTTTTACTGCTCACAGAAGGTAAGTAATACATCAAGGAAAAACTGAATCACTATTACAACTGTACTTCTTCCAGTTAGGGTTTACACTGCTGGGCATTACCAGTTTCATTTAGTATTACTATTGGCATCTTTTCAGTCACATTTACACAGAATAACACATTTCTGTTAGCATTTCTACTACCGGTAGCTATTTTTCAGTCAAATAGTATGTCAAATTACTAATTCCTGTTAGCATTTCTAGAAGGTAGCTGTTTTTCAATTCTTATTATGCTTGATTACAGATCGACATTGAAGACATTGCCATGAGATTTATGTTTATACAGCGGCTTTTCATCAGGGTTTCCTGACCAAAATAACCAATTTTACTCCAACCAGCCGAGAGAGTTTTACCCCATTTCATGTGTGGAGTTTAGACATTAACTACATTGGGTGTTAATGCTTCCCAGTGGCAGTAATCAGGATTTGATTTGAAGGACAATTGGCCATAAGAAGTTTGTTGTTTTCTACAGGTAATGGTCCCGGGAAGGTTATGGACCCGAGGAAGAAATCGTTAGAGAGGATGGTCATGTTTGGAGATTCCTGTCAGGTACAGAATTATACTACTATTGGTCGCTCTCATACAGAACCTTTGTCAGGAATATAATTATACTACTATTGGTCACTCTCATACAGTACCTTTGTCAGGTAAAGAATTATACTATTATTGGTCACTCTCATACAGAACCTTTGTCAGGTATATAATTATACTACTATTGGTCACTCTCATACAGAACCTTTGTCAGGTAAAGAGTTATACTATTATTGGTCACTCTCATACAGAACCTTTGTCAGGTA